TTAGAGAAGAGTAATAGAATACCATGCAAAATAATTTATGCTAATGTAGAATTTGTTGAAACAATTGTTGCAGTGTGAAACTCTCCTTAAAGTGTAGAGTCCAAAACTGGATGCAATACTTTCATTTTTAACCAGCGTTATGTAAACATTTAGTGTGAGTTCTCTGCTTTTATACCCAAAGTATTGAGTCCTAAGATCCCATATGCTTTTCTGATTACTCTTGTTCTCTTTGTTATGAGAAATCTGTAATATACATTGCGTTTTTGCTTCAGTTTGCTTTCCGTCTCTTCGTTCATGTGCCTCACTTGTATGCAAACTATTGCCTGTTTAAAAGCGGTTACAACTTTGCCTGCAAATGTTTGATTCTAATTTACACTGCCCAGATGTATTCTTACTCCCTGAAATTATATCTAGATGGATTGCAACGTGAGGTTGCTCCTTCTCCTTTCCTAATTTAAACTTTATAACAGTATGATTATTCTCCTCTAAATGTTCCCTCACTGATATTTGATCCATTTGACACATCTCATTCATTGGAACCAGATTCAGCAATACTTTCTGCCTTGTTGGGCAGGATATGTACTGATCTAAAAACGTTCCCAAATATTCTTCACAGAGTCTTCCATCTCCAATTATCAATGCTTTAGAGTTTCTGTCTCATTCTGTAATGTCCTTGTGTTTGTTTTTTCTTTATATCTTTTTCACTAATTGCTGGACTATAGAACACTCCAGTAGTGTAATGATATCTTTTATTTTCTTTGATTTAGTCAAATAAATTCTATCCTTGACCTCTGTAGGACATCTTCTGTCCAGCACTGTAGTGTTATCCTTAATTAGTACTTCTAGCCTACTTGCTTTCTTTCCTTCTCTATCTCTCCTTAACATCTTGTATGTAGTGATATTTAGTTCCCATTTCTAACTCTTTTTGAGCCAGCTATCACAATTTGTCCCCCTATCTATTTATGTCTGTAATTCACCAAACTTATTTACAATGCTAGTTGCATCCACATTGTGTGTGGTAAATAAGCACTAACACATGGCAACGTAAGTAATTTGGAGATTATAGTCTGTAATTCCTGCTTGCCAATCTGCTCACTAAACTCTGCATGCAGGACTTTGTCCCACAGCTTTCTGCTTATGATGTTGGTACCGATTATTGTGACTGTAGTCTATCAGCAACCACCACCACCACCACCCTCCCAACCTCTCACGACCCCACCCCAACCTCTGGCTCAGAGTGCTCTGCAGCCATTCGTGATATCCTTCACAGCAGGGAGGCGACACAAAAACTCCACTTTTTATTACCTAGACTCACTTCATTTAAATCCCACACACACAGAGAGAGAAACAAGACTGTCCACAATTCTGAGTGCAAAAGTTAAGCAGCTACAGGTGGGTCTGTTTTGCTGCCTGCTCCTTTAGTCCCCACGTTAGCCAGCAGTCTCCAACATCCACTGGCACCAACATCATTGCTTTCTGCAATCAGTGTACCCTGTCCATGGAGGTTGGCAGCAGACATGAACTGGCTTCACCATATCATGGCACATCCCTGACTCATTTAGAATACAGCTTTCCACTTCAACACTGCATTTTAGAGTGCACCCACACCTTGTGTTGTATGCTGCCAGGCCACTTTACATGCAGAGACAAGAGCCCATCTACTGCGTCAGAGCAAGGTGTACCTGAGGAGTGTTAGCTTGTTCTCTCAGCACTCACTTACTTTTGTGCCTACTTAGACCATCTCAACCATTCTTTGCTTGACTTGGGTTTTTTTTTGCAAATTGATGCATCATTCAAAATTTACAGGCTCTTACTACTTTTGCCTTGCCCTGCCATTTGGCCCAACTTCAAAGTCAGACAGTTTGTCATATTGCCAGTAGTGATCAGTCAAGGGGGTGGACATAAGACCAAAGAACTGCAAATGCTGGAAATTGGAAACAAATTAAGACATTGCTGGAAAAACTCAACAGGTCTGGCAGTATCTGTGGAGAGAAAACAGAGTTGATGTTTCGGGACCAATAACCCTTAAGATCTCTAGGGGAGTGGACATGTTGCTGAAGGGCACCATGCTACATTGATGTCACACCTGTACCATGTTCCTGCAACTTATACAGCAACAATACTGAATGTGCTTTAACCAATTGCTATGTCTCAAAGTCTAAGGGGAGTAGTCCTTAGTGAATTCTACAGAAGCTGTTTTCAGCCAGAGTGTACCAGTAAGTAAATGTACCTGTTGGCAAATTGGAGTGTGAACCTGCCTCTTGTCAGCCATTTCTGAGGTAATTCTTCCCCACACTGCAACTGTGAAGGGCAGTTCCTGATGCTGAACTAATGCAGAGCTGAGATTTAAATACAGCACCAGCAGTAGGAATCCTGAATGTTCTAGCAGTAGTGAGTACTTCTGTAGCTGGTGAACACAAGATAGCATGAGAACAGTGACAGAGGTGTGATATAACCGTAATATGGTAAGCAATGGAGTATTACGTGAGATACCCACAAGGGCTCACAAAGAGAAACCCTCTTGGACACTCCCCAAAATTGACATTAAGCCAAGTTTTGGTAAAATTCTTTCTATTGCCTTTATCACTTTTATTAGACTAATTTTACAACATAACAAAGAAAACAAATAAATTTATCGTATCAAACAGACTTTATGACCTTTGACAGACTGATCAGATCTTCAAAAGTGAGTCCACTTCTTTCATTCAGATAGATATTCTTCAGTCAGAATAGTGCTAGCTAGTGATCTCTTTAAAAATGGGATTTTTAATCTCTAGGGAAATTTCCAGGTTTTCCCTCGCCACTTCCAAATTGGATCTTGTAAGATTGCAGCAGGGTAGGATGTTCCTGCTGGAGCTCCTCTGCTCCACCTGTTCTTTTTGTTTCTTTTCCCTTTTCTTTCCTCTTTTCTTCTTCTCTCCCCTCAGCACCAGAGGCGAACACTGGTGCAGTGGCAGGTGCAGCGAGGAGCGAGCCCTGGTATAGTGTGTGGGCTACAAGCCCTGGAACGGCACGTGGGCTGTGAGCCTCAGAGCAAAGCGGGAAAGCAGCCCCAGAGCATCGTGCAGGCGGCGAGTCCTGGGTGGAGACCGGCGCAGGGGAGGCAGTCCTTGCAGCTGAGTCTCAGTACGGAGTGGTCTGGGGCTTGGTGTGGAGGGGGACCAGCTGTTAGATTGGCACTGGCGCAGGCAGTCAGACCTTGCTGAGCTGTTACACTGCAATGTCTATTTGAAATTTCCTATCTTACTGTAATGTCGACCCTTTAATGATGTACTATTTTTAACTTATTTTTCAAATCTGTAAATAATGCAACTGCTTTTATTCCTCTGCTGTATCCAATAATTGTACCTAAGCACTTGTACCTAAGATGTTGCCATAAGAAGGCAGACATTGTAAAAGCTTTTCACTGTGTTCCCAACAATGGAGTACACACAACAATAAAAGAATTTTGTATTGTCACTCTTTGACTGGCTGGCATATTCTATAATTTATCTTAATTATTCATGGTTTTTGTATGTAATGAATCTTGATAATGTAATTGTTCAATGTGTTTCCTGAATTTGATTTTAAATATGTCTTTATCTAACTTGCACAATATTTTTCTTTCTGTTTTTTGTTCTGAGCTGATTTAATTGCATTCTTTGCTTCAGTTTGTGCATAAGTCCCAACTTTTGACTTCTAACTCCAAGTAAGTAAGAAGACTTTAGATTAATCTTTAACATAAAACATTTTGTACAACATACATAATATAAACCCACATGAGGTTAAAGTTAGTCCTTATAATAGAACTAATAATTTTTGTTAATCCCTCAAAACATGAACACCTAAAGTTTGAAATTTAGTGAATTGTTTGCTTTCCTTGCTGACATCCAACAAAATTGTTTACTGGCATTCATATTTTTAATTCCTCAAACATTATAAGTCTGTTAGTGGTGCATGTTAGGGGGAGGTGATGGCCTAATGGTATTATTGCTGGACTGTTAATCCAGAGACCCTGTAAAATTCTGGGGACCTGGGCTTAAATCCTACCACGGCAAATGGTGGAATTTGAATTCAATAAAAATCTGGAATTAGGAGTCTAACAATGAATCCATTGCCGATTGTCAGGAAAAACCCATCCCAGTCACTCATACCCTTTAGAGAAGGAAACTGCCATTCTTACCTGGTCTGGCCTATGTGTGTCTCCAGACTCACAGCAATGTGATTGACTGTTAACTGCCCTCTAGGATTAGGGATGGGCAATAAATGCTGCTCTAGCCATCAATGCACTCATCCCAATTGATGAATACAAAAAAAATAGTTTGTTGAACTTAAAAGATCACAGTTGTCAAAACTGCAGTGCCCTGTGTTCTATGAGATAATGATTCTAAAAGGGTTCATGTTGGAGACTACATTAAACACCACCAAATCTGGTGATCTTGCATTGACTTAGCTGGGGAAAATGCAGAACAGCTTAAGATCTCATTGAATCTATATCCTCATAGTCTCAGGTATCTGCTTTTTATCATGCAATAGGTACATCTTGTTTAAGGTAGTAGCCTTTTGTTAAGACTCACTTGCTGGCAACAAACTACTCCAACCACAAGCAGGTAATGGTTAGTATTGCAAAACAGTCAACATCCTGTATGTCATGTATTTCTTCTAAAAGAAGACCTGTTTTTAATGAGTTCTAACCAAACCTTTTCAAATAAGTATTAATTTAACTAATGTTTTCAATTGCAATGAATTGACATTTACTATCCTAAAATCAACTGTTGCCAGCTAGTCTAATTTATTTGCAGTGCAATAATATTAAAAAAAAAAGTACCTACTGTCAAGAAATCATGTTACTTTTAAGGTGCCTTCCTTTGGTTCTGTTAGCTAATTCAGTAAATTTTAATCTGAGAATGATCAGTCTTCACTTGGAAAAAAAATTGGTACCATGCAAAGTGTAAGAGGTGCTGCTTGGTGTAAGAGGAACGGTCATTGTAATGTAAAATATAAAAGGAAGTGCCAATGTAAACAGAGGGAAGCTGCTGTCACTTCACCGGCTCTAAGAGGGGGAAGCACAGGACATTACTTTGTTTGTGTTTCCCTAGTAACCCTGCAGCCTTACAAGCCAAGTAGAACTAGGTTAGTGCTAGTAACATTGTATCTCAATTGTACTTGATCTGTTGTACTTTATTGACAGTAATATTTTGCATTTCTAGTTACACATTTGCTGCTTATTGTTTGGTCAGTTTTGTTTTGTGGCTTGTATGAAAGTGCCTCCTGAGCTCTGCTGTTCAGATTCAGGCTTCATGTGTTGGTTACTGGTATAAACAAATGAGACCAGTCAGAGTCTCTCTGTTGCACCAATTGCTACCAAACTTGAAGCACACAGTAACTGGAGAATGTAAGTAAATCTCACATACTATGCGAACATAAATCTTAAACTGTACTTTATAGTGCATTTTGTCTGATCCAAAACATTATTTTGTATTAGGAATGAAAGGAAATGCTGGTTAGGAACATTCATGGTAAAGTGAAACTGAAAGTAGTAAGCTACTACGTTGTACCTCAAGGATATTGCATTATAAATTTTAAAATATTCTAAACATATGTATCTGTTGTAGAATGATATAGTGCAGAAGGCCACCTCTTTGGTAGGTCTATGTGATCACACCCATATTTTATAAGTAGTTATTTTAACTACATATCACATTTTCTTTTGAAAGTTACTTGTAAATCTACTTCACCAGCCTTTCAAGCAGTGCATTCAAGATCATGAATCTGTAGATTCTCAATAAAGCAATCTCTAGTGCCCATGTTTATTGTTTATCTTTTTATTTTCATCATTAAAACAAATAATTTGGACACTACCAAATTGCTGTTTCTGTTCTGTGCGATTTGGCTGTGTTACAACAGTGGTCACACTTCAGAAGTACAAAGTTGGTTATATAATATCATGTGACTTCCTGAGGCCATCAAAGACACTATCTGGAATGCAATTTCTGAAAAAACAGTCATATTGGATTCAAAACATTAACTCTGCCATTCCCTCTCTCCACAGATTTTCCTGTACTTGCTGTTTTTATTTCAGATTTCCAGCATCCACAATATTTTGCTCTTGTCTAAATGCAAGTGCTTTATTTTGTTTCATTTTTTCTTGCTTAGTTACCAAATATACAAGTAGCCCACAACCAATTCACCAGTTGTCCTTACCCTTAACAACTTCTTCTTTAATTCCTCCCACTTCCTACAGACAAAGGGGGTGGCCATGGGTACCCGCATGGGCCCAAACTATGCCTGCCTCTTTGTAGGATACGTGGGACAATCCCTCTTCCGCAGCTACACTGGCCCCATCCCCCACCTCTTCCTCAGTTAAATCGATGACTGGATGGGCACCGCCTCATGCTCCTACGAGGAGTCAAACAGTTCATCCACTTTACTAACACCTTCCACCCCAACCTTAAGTTCACCTGGACCATGTCTGATACCTCTCTCTCCTTCCTGGACCTCTCTGTCTCAATCTCTGGCAATCACCTGGAAACTGATATCTGTTTCAAGCCCACCGACTCCCACAGCTACCTAGATTACACCTCCTCTCACCCACCCTCCTGCAAGAATGCCATCCCCTATTCCCAATTCCTTCACCTTCACCGCATCTGCTCCCAAGTTGACGTGTTCCACTCCCAGTCATCCCAGATGTCCTCATTTTTCAAGGACCGCAATTTCCCCTCCACAGTGGTCAAAAATGCCCTTGACCGCATCTCTCATGATTCCTGCACCTCAGCCCTCACACCCCCTCCCCGCAATAACAACAAAGACAGAATTCCCCTTGTCCTCACGTATCACCCTATCAACCTCTGGATTCAACGCATCATTCTCCGCCACTTCTGCCACCTGCAATCTGACCCCACTACCAAGGATATATTTCCCTCCCCACCCTTATCTGCCTTCCGGAGGAACTGCTTTCTCTGTGACTCCCTCGTCTGCTCCACACTCCCCACTAGACCCACCACCCCTGGCACTTTTCCCTGCAACAGCAGGAAGTGCTACACCTGCCCCTACACCTACCCCCCTCACCCCCATCCCAGGCCCAAAGAAAACCTTCCACATTAAACAGATGTTCACCTGCACATCTGCTAATGTGGTATATTGTACCTGCTGTTCCCGATGTGGCCTCCTCTACATCGGGGAAACCAAGCGGAGGCTCGGAGACTGCTTTGTGGAACACCTACGCTTGGTTCGTGACAAACGACTGCACCTCCCAGTCACGAACCACTTCAACTCCCCCTCCCACTCCTTTGATGACATGTCCATCCTGGGCCTCCTCCAGTGCCACAATGATGCCACCCAAAGGCTGGAGGAACAGCACTTCAAATTCCGCTTGGGAACCCTGCAGCCCAATGCTCTCAATGTGGACTTCACAAGCTTCAAAATCTGCCCACCCCGACCTTATCCCAAGACCAGCCCATCTTGTCCTCGCTTCCTTGACCTGTTTGTCTTTTCTCCCACCTATCTGCTCCTACCACCTCATTGACCAATCCCACCCCCATTTCCTACCTACTAGCCTCATCCCCACCTCCTTGACCTGTCCGTCTTCCCTCCGATCTACCTGCCTCTCCCTCCTCGTTGACCAACCTCCATCCCAACTCCCTACCTACACTCACCTTTACTGGCTTCATCGCCGCCTCCTTGACCTGTTCGTCTTCTCTCCACCTTTCTGCTCATCTATCCACCTTCTATCATCGCCTCCCCCTCTCTCTATTTATTTCAGAGCCCCCTTCCCCTCCCCCATTTCTGAAGATGGGTCCAGACCTGAAACAGCAGCTTTCCTGCTCCTCTGATGCTGTCTGGCCTGCCTGTGTTCATCCAAATCTACACCTTGTTATCTCAGACTCCAGCATCGGCAGTTCCTACTATGTCCAAATCACCAGTTGTATGTTTTTGAAGAACTGGATTCCCTCCTTAGTCCTCTAAGAAAATGCAACATTTCACAATTATGTATATTCAAGTTTAAAGGTCATTTACATACCATCCTGCAAAATAGTTAATACTTTTCAAGGTTGCAGGTCTAAGAATATATAGATTTCTCAAATATTCCAAGCAATATGCTAGTTCTTAACCTTCTAGAACCTTTGATAACATATAGATTACAATTGATCAGTGTTGAAAAATGAAGTTTATGGGATTTTGTCAAGTAGATATTTAGCACAACTTTATTTCTGATAATTAAGCTATAAAGATTCCATATCTCATTAAAAATGGTCTGTAGGAGCATTAAGTTTGTAGCTTTTGCCTTGTTCGATATATAATTGTGCTCTTTCTTGATACTTTCTTTTGCTTTAAATGAGAATTTCTGCAGGGTTTTCGCCATTTATTGTAATGTTGATAGATTTACAGAATCCAGAAATGGTATAAATGATTTTCTTGTGTTTTTAATCTAGACATTTTATGAATCTTATTCTGAATTTACAATAAATGATTAGAACAATTACTACAGAAATTCAACCCAATAATTTCAGCTTAAAAATATATAAAGACCACCCAGATTTTTCTGTACCCAAATAGAAACCCCAATTGATTTGTCTTTTATGCTGTGTTCAATCAAATTACAATTTTGCTTGCACTTAAGATTTTATTTGATGTTTATTGAATATTCACAGAATTTCCACATTGTCTTCAGAAGCTGATAGATGTGTCATAGGATAATGCAGGCTATTAAACCCTATAACTGTATACAGTGTGGCAATGACTTTGCCAGTCAAACAGCCTTAAAACATCACTTCCAAGCTAAACATATTGGAAGAGTATACTGTGACAAATGTGGGATTGAAGTGCTCCGAGAAAAACTGAAGGAACATGAAGAGGTATGCATCCAGAAGTATTCTTTATAAATTATTGCAAGCATCCCAATTATACAGTAGAACTTCACAATAGAGGAAAGTTATACGAGAAAAAAACATTCCAGCATTAGATCAATGCAGAATATTGACTGAAAAAAATGTCACTTTGCAATGTTGTGAGGCCCGAACTTAATTACTTTTGCAATTGTAACACCAGTATTTTAACATTGAATAGTTTAGCTGTCCTTCCAAATTGAATGGATAATATTGTGGAAAATTTTGTGTAGACTAGAATCATCTGGCCTTTTTCAGTTCAATGCATTATAATGATATGAGCTTATTGTCCTAAAGATCACTGGCAAATTGTTTTTCTTGAATAAGGACAGCAGTGCAGAGTCCCTACCCAGCTTAGCAGGGACTGGGTCATTTGTATATTTCACTCTCGTGTTCGGTATAATTCAGTGGTAGTACTCTTGCCTTGAGTCTGGGGTTTGTGGGTTCAGATCCTACATCAAGAGACTTGAACATAAGATCAGCACTCCAGCGCAGCATCAGGTCAGTGCTGCACTAGCCAAGCTGCCATCTTTCAGATGTGATATTAAACTAAAACCTGCCTGTCCTCTCAGATGGATGTAAAACATTCCATGGCAGTGTTTCAAAGAAGAGCCAGGGAGTACCCCTGAAATTCTGGCCAATATTTATGTCTCAAACAACAGCACAAAACCAGATTCTCTGGTCATGAACACATTGCAATTGGTAGCACAATTTGTGCACAAATTGTTAACAGTGTTTCCTGCAATACAACAATATTAAAATTGTAAAAGTACATAATTGGTTGTAGAGCCCTTTGTGATTCCTCAGAAATGCTGCATAATTCAAGTCACTTTTAAAAAAACTTTATAGATTGTTGGCACCTGCAAGAGTGCATCGATAATACCCATTTTGTCCTAATCCACCTTCCAAAGGTGGAGTCTGGCTTAGCTGGTCCATCTGTAATAATCTGAGGTCTAAATAGGAAGAAAAAATTCCAAATGACTCTAATGGGAGCCGTTTTATTGCTGATATGCAAATTGATCACTTCGTGCTTGATTAACATACTTTCGTAAGGATTTGGGACCAAAAAGGGATTCATATTGGACAGTAGCTGGCCTTTCATTGAAATAAAGGAGGGGATTTCTTGGTAAAGTCCAGGAACTCTCCTCTAATCACACCCTCTTCTTGTATGGTGGCTTGATGTAAGATCTACCCATATGAACATATGGATTAGAATCAAAAGCAGACTATTCAGCTGTTTGAACATTACATAGTATCATGATTGATTGGCTTGTCTTCCGAACTCCACATTCCCATTTATCTCTGATAATATTTGCTTATTTTATGCAAGGGAACCAATCTTTTAAAAAATACTCAGTGACACCACCACAATCTCCTCCTTCCCAGTACTGACTGTTAATTTGGAGATATAATCTAAACATAATGCAGCCTTAGCAGAACTGGATTCAATCCCATAGTTTGAGCCTGTTTCCCTAATGGCAATCAGATTTACACTCTTCAAAACCATGAATTTTGGGACAAATTTGTAGATACAATGTTAAAGAAGGCGTATGGTGTGTTAGCTTTCATTACTAAAGGGATTGAGTTCAAGAGCCGTGAAGTTATGTTCCAGTTATACGAAAGCCTGGTTCGGCCACATCTGAAGTATTGTGTCCAGTTCTGGTCGCCTTATTACAGGAAAGATGTGGAAGCATTGGAAAAGGTGCAGAGGAGATTTACGAGGATATTGCCTGGAATGGAAGGAAGGTCTTACGAGGAAAGGTAGAGAGAGCTAGGGCGTTTCTCTTTAGAATGAGGAAGGATGAGAGGCGACTTGATAGAGGTGTACAAAATGATCAGAGGTATAGATAGAGTGGACAGCCAGAGACTTTTTCCTAGGGTGGAGGTAGCTATTATGAGGGGGCATAGTTTTAAAGTGAGTGGAGGTAGATATAGGGGAGACGTCAGAGGTAGGTTCTTTACTCAAAGAGTGGTCGGGGCGTGGAATGCATTGCCAGAGAGGGTAGTGGAGTCGGCCTTATTAGGGGCATTTAAGCAGCTATTAGATAGGCATATGGATGATAGTATAAGGTAGGGGTGGAGGTTAGATAGACCTTAGGTTTAGGGTAAAAGTTCGGCACAACATCGTGGGCCGAAGGGCCTGTACTGTGCTGTACTGTTCTATATTCTATGTTCTATTGAGTGTATAATTCCTGCCCTGATTTTCCCTACCAAAATGCAGCAGCTGACATTTATCTAAATTAAATTCCATCTGCCACTTCTCCACCCATTGCCCATCTGACCAAGGTCCCATTGTACTCTGAGGTGACCTTCTTCACTGTTCAGCACGCCATGAATTTTGGTATCATCTGCAAACTTACTAACCATATCTCCTATATTCACATCCAAAGCATTTATATAAATGACAAAAAACAGTGGACCCAGCACCAATCCTTGTGGCACACCGCTGGTTACAGGCCTCCAGTCCAAAAAGCAACCCTCCACCACCACCCTCCTACCTTCGAGTCAATTTTGTATCCAAATGGCTAGTTTTCCCTGTACTCCATGTGATCTAACCTTGCTAAACAGTCTATCATGCAAAACTGTGTTGAACGCCTTGTTGAAGTTCAAATAGTCCACATCCACCGCTCTGCCCTCATCAATCTTCTTCATTCACTTGTGTTGGCACTTTAGGGAACTATGTTAATGCTTCTAAGTGTTCTGCCACTTGGTGTGTACTTCCCTCCTGCATTAGGCCTTCCAAAATGCATCACCTCACATTTGCTGGATTAAATTCCAACTGCCTTTTTACTGCCCAAGTCTCCAACGTATATCCTGCCGTATACTCTGGTGACCCTCCTCACTATCCGCAGCTCCCCCAATCTTTGTGTCATCCACAAACGTACTATTCAGGCCACCTACATTCTCCTCCAAATCTATGTTACAAACACGATGGGGTGGGGGCAGCACTGATCACTGCAAAACGTATCTTGTCACAGATCTCCAGTCAGAGAAACACATTTATGCTGCTTCTGTCTGTCTCCCATTACCAAGCCAGTTCAGTATCTATCTTATCAGCTCACTGCAGATCCCATGTGACTTCATCCTCTGTAGCCATGAGGGACCTTGTCAAAGGCCTTGCTAAAGTCCATATAGACAACATCTACCACTGTGCCCTCATCAATTATCTTTGTCACTTCCTCAAAAAACTCAATCAAGTTTGAGAGACATGACCTTCCACACACAAAGCCATGCTGCATAATGCTGGTAAGTCCATATTTTTCCAAATGAATAAGACCTGTCCTTAAGATTCTTCTCCAATAATTTCCCTACCACTGACTATATTTTGCCTATCCATAGACAGTACATGACCAAGATAAACATAAATTGGTATGTGAGAATCCATACTGGGACAAACCCTTGCAGCGAGAAGACAAATTTGTTGCATCAGAAAAGTCTGTGTCTTGCCGGATGTGTGGCAGGGTGTTTGGGACCTTCCACAGCAGAGAGCAACATGAGAGACAACAGCATCATTTTACAGCCAGCCAAAGAGGTAAACTGCATCCAAATGCTTACAGAAAGATGTTAGTTTTCGTACCAGCTTAGAACATTTGGGATGGGTAAACCAATTCAAAACCTGTATGTCTGCAGGATCGTTCTACTGAACCTAGATTTTTCTTGTGATTATCATCTGTTTTGGGGTGGATTTAGAATAACTGCAAGCAGGTGAGTGTTGAAAATCAATACGTAACTGGTAGCATCATCTATGATGCCTCAATATTGTACCTATAAATAGTAGTTTTCAAATACCCACTTAAATTCACCCTGTAACAGCAGCTCAAATTCCTGCTGCATTGCACAAGAAGTAATCAGTCTCCCAATTAATGTTATTTAACAGGTTCCATTGATCTTCCTACCTCCTTGGAATCTGGTTTAGATCATTTTGTGAAGGTACTCTGCACTCAGAGACTCAGTTCCAATAGGTACTTGGACTTTTCTTGTGAAAATGCAAGAAAGGTGATTTGCTCAATGCTGCTTATTAAGTTGGATGAGTTGGATGAGTGTTTTTGTTAAGGGTTTTTGTTGATGAGTTTTATTTTGAATACTGGCCAAGAAGGGCATTGTGATGAGATGTGTGAAATGGATAAGATGGGTTTGGATGATGCAATACGTAAGTGTGGAAGTGGAAGCAGAACTTTACAGTTTATTTGGGCACAGTTCCATTCACTTATTTAGTCCAGAAATTACAAATTCTTGAAACAAATAGTCATTGACCTCTCTTTTTAAACTACAAAGCAAATCATATGCTACACCAAAATTCTATCTCATTACCCACCAGAAAGGTCTCCTCAATGCTCATATATCACCAAGAATCTAGCAAAGCATTTAAATTAAACTGACTGAAAAATGGAACTGAGGACATAGCAATGTCATTTGACAAGCAAGACAGCTGTCCAGTCACGCTTCAGACAATAATCCCCACCACCTTTTTGTGGGAAATTTGAGACCTTTATTTCCTTTTGATTTAAAAATGTAATTTAGTTTCCTTTGGCGTCTTCTACTTTATTTTGGAATGAATCTGACTGCACATCTGTTTGGAATTTGCAAGAAAGTCAATTTTGAAAATGAAAAAAATGCATTAAAGAAGACATTTGAAATATAATCACTCAAGTTATTTAAATTGGAAAGCTAAATTCTCCATTAGATTGAGTGCTGGAAGTGTAGATTCTTATACAAACTTGGAAGCTCAGTGAGAGAAGAAAAATATTTTTCTTCAAGCTATGCAAAAGTTTAGAAAGCTGGAAATATGTCAGAATTGTAAGTTGCTCAACCAATTGTGTAACTTTTATTTACCAATATGTAGGCACTTCTTAAAAAGAAAAAAGTTTTTGACTTCATTTTCACAGCAAGAATGTCTACAGCATTCTCCCCAGACAGTGTATTGGATCTCAGAAGCTCAGTGCAATTACAAAAATTTATGGAAACATACCTTCAACCAGAAATGGGACTTGTGAGAATGGCTTGTGCTGGAGAAATAGAGAAGTTTATTGATTTAATTCAAGAGTGCTGTCCCACATCCGTGACCCGAATTATCAAGGTAATGGGCTTTAAGTTCACAAATGTTTTGCGGGGGGTGTTGGGGAGAGAAATATGAGAAATGTTAGACATATTGCAGTTTTTCTGTAAATGATTTATGGAAATGACACAGTTGTAATCTTTGGACCCAGTTGGTTTATCTTAGTGTCAAAAGATATGGCCAACCAATTTCAAAAGGCCTTTCAGCTGGTTGGAAGAATACATACTTGACAATTCCCAGAATTTACGCACAAAATTGGTTGCCTAAAAGCAAATTCACAATCCAAATAGAACCTACTGGACAGCTACTCATAGTTCCATTGCCAATCCTACATAAAATAGGGAGATATGCTGGAGAGATTTGCATCTTCTCCTATTTCTTATGAATATAGCTACAGTTGAAATATATTGAGCTACAACTTGAAGAAGTTAAGGTAAGAATTTCTTATGGAATTAAACCTGTGCCAACCAACAAGGGAATTTTCCCACATCTTGGAAAGGCAAAAATCTTCACTACCCAAGATGTGAAACATAGGCACTATCGAGTGAATCTAAATGAAAGCAGCAGCTTTCTAACTACATCCTGGATGGCATTCAGCAGATACAGATGATTGAACATGTTATTTGACATTTCCACAACTCCACAGGATGCCAAATCAGACAGCGAGTAATAGTGATCTTCTCAAAAAATTTGCTCAAGTAAATGATATACTAGTTTATGATGGGGAACAACAGTGGAAGAAACCATTGCTGACCACAATCAAAATTGACTGTGACTGACTTACAAAATTCACCAGATGAATCTGAAGAAGAATCAGAAAACAATTGCAATTAAAGTTGTCAGAGGTTGAGCCATAGGTCACGCACAGACAGGAAAAGGCCTTCACCCAGCTCCCAAAAATAAGAGCTGCAGCAGTGAGTCAAAAACCGACAATGCAGTGCAACAATTTATTGGATTCATTAACTGTTTGGCAAAATTCTATTTAGTAATTTGAAGTTAGAGTGTAAACTATTAAACATACTGATTGCCAAGGATGTGCAATAATAATGGGGCACAGACCAAGAAGCAGCAGTCAGTGTCTGCTGTGCCAGTGCTGAAATGTTACGATGTAAATGTTGAAATCACCTTGCAGTGTGACCCTAGTGAGACTTGCAACAACATTAATGGAGCAAGGACAATTGGTTACACTTGTATCTGAATGAAATAATTCTATGTTCAAATTAAGGAAAAATGCCTGGCCATTGACTTTGCTTGTGGACTTTTCAACATTATCTACTTGGAAGAGGCAAAGTGAAAGTCAAGCCTGACCACAAGTCACTTCAAAGCATTTCCTGAAGTCACTACCATCTGCTGCAATAAGTCTGTGAAGAATGTTATTCTGGTTAAAGCGATACCATCTGGACATGACATACAAGCAATGGAAACAGATGTACATCACTGAGATGCTGTTGAGAGTAGCACACTATTGAAAAAAAGGAGAGAATGTTGTGATGAAATATAATAATATCCAGGTCCAACATAAAGCCGTTGAGGTCATCAACCCAGCAGAAATATTGAATTTACACAAACACCTTATTTAAACCATGCAAAGTACCTGACAAGATACAACTCTCCAAGTTGCAAGAAGTAGTATTGAGAGGATAGAGTGAAAGCCTCAAGGGCAATCCTGTGGCCTCAAGAATGTATTGGAAATACAGAGATGAATTGACAGCCTTAGATGGTGTGTTGTACAAGTAAAGTAGAGTCATTATTGCTAAAGAATTGAGAGGAGAAATGTTAAAATGCATTGATGCATGCTACCAAGGATGTTAGTTCAGTTTGAGGAAGCGGAGAGAAGTGTCCTAATGGCCATTTGTGTATTTGCAAGAGAAAAAGAACAGCTGAGGGATCAGTGAATTAAGATCACTGAAGTTGGAGAGATATTTTGCAAACATAAAGGTTGAGGAAGAATTTAGAATTGGCATTCCAGCAAACCTTAAAACTTATTTGGATGAGCATCAAATATTAAAAGATTTGAAAAGCAACAGTTCTGGCAGATACCTATAATATCTCACTTATTAAGGAAATGGTCAGATTGGAAGTCCGTGAAGAAACTGGAGGAATAGACAACTTAAAAATGAAAGAGGTACTTGTCTTGGGAAAGCATGCCAAAGTAATAAAGGAAAAAACCTAATCCCCGAACAGGTATGAAGAAAATGGCTTTTTCCATTATGTTAAGACTGGACACGTCAAAGAAATTTCTTGAAGCTAATGATTTACCTACATATAGTTGACAAACTGTTGATTTTGCTACTCAGCCACCCATCTCATCCATTGTAGTGAGATCAGGAGTGAGCGGGAAGGTGCGAAACCAGTCATCAACCCATGTTACACTCCCCCTGCCAAAAACACATCCGCATCAGCATGTAATATCCACCCCTGGACATACTACTGCAGTAA